TGAGCTGAAGAGCGCAGGGATAGTGCCCAAGCCCATAGTTAAAGCCCCATGACCGACCAAAAAAAAAAAAGACTCTGATTGACTTTCCTGCCCAGGCTAGTTTCAAACCAGTCCTCAGATCTCAACCTCCTGAATAGCTAGGATTACATGTGTGAGCCACTGGTTCTTCACTCCAGTAGAAAATTTTAATTGTAATGATGTCCTAAAAAAGATTACGGGAAAGCCCTTAGCATTTTGTGTTTTTAGTCTATTATCAGTAACTACCTTTTTTTTTTCCCCTTTCTTTACTATCCCTAATTGTGTGTGTGTGTGTGTGTGTGTGTGTGTGTGTGTGTGTGTGTGTGTGTGCGTGCTCGCGTGCTATTATGAAGCATTTTGTTTTAAGCTGGAAAACAGTTGTAATGAGTATTAAGTGTCTGACAGTCCACTGAAAATAAACCAAGATAAATTGGAATTACGGCAGAGGTTCTAGTTTTTGTTATTCTTGATTTGAAATGGTTCTGTTCCTATTATGTATTCCTTAACCTTTAAAAATAACGTTATCAATCTATTCAAGGAAAATGAGAGTACTTTACGACTGCTACAAGGGTCGCTTCTATAATTGTTTATGAAGGAGACTTTAAAATAATCATAAAATTACATAGAATAGACATTTGGACGCATATAACCATGTATTTCCTTTAGAATGGCAATTAGTGGGAAGAATAGCTATAAAGAAGACAGGAAGTAATTACTGAAAACCAAGTCATCTGAAACCAAGCTTCAGATGAATGAAATGTGGCCTTACACTTTTTGGAATTTTTTTCCAAACCATGTGACAATAGCTGTGTAAGAAAATTACAGTTTGCAAAGAAATAAAGACCATGCACATCTGTTCCTTTTAAACCACTATTTGCACTCTGGAATTACTAACAGTTTATGGAGTAAATACCGTGAGATATTAATTAAAAACTGCTACCTAGTTTCTCAGTGTTTGCCTGATTTCATAATTACATTATACTTCTTATCTTTGACAGTAATCATTTGTAGTATATTTTGCATGGAATTCAAATAGTAGTTTATTTGATGATATTAGTATTTGGGAAATAATTTTACTTACATTGTTCTCATACATCTTTGGTCATAGTAATAGAGGAGAAAAGATCCCTCATTTGAAAACCTGTGGCAGTATGATGACTATTTACAAATGCATTTTTACTGAAGTATAAGCTAATTTTAAAGAAAAATCTAAGTAATTTTAAAGCTTTTGTTAGAATCTTGCAAAGATCACACATATACAAACACGAACAGTATTTCAATCTATTGCAAAGCTGTCTAATAATATTCTAATATTAATGAAATGTTTCAGATTATCTCATGCATTCGAAAGCACATCATATTTAGGGTCTAACATTATGGGCTTCCATTAAATTTATTTTAATACTGAACTAGTATGTTTTTAAAACTCGAATTGTGCTAAGAAAGCAAAGATTAGAGTTGATAATTTTCAATATTAGTTTTGATGTCTGTATTGTTACTTTATTGCCTAAAAATTTACTCATTGTAAAACTTCTTAAAAATTAATTATTGTGGGGCTGGGAAGATGGCTCAGTAGTAGAGCGCTTGCCTTGCATGCATAAGGCCCTGGGTTCGATTCCTCAGCACCACATAAGCAAAAAGAAAAAAGCCGGAAGTGGCATTGTGGCTCAAGTGGTAGAGTGCTAGCCTTGAGCTGAAGAGCTGAAGGACAGCGCCCAGGCCCAGAGTTCAGGCCCCACGACCGGAACCTCCCCCCCCCCCCCAAAAAAAAAATTAATGATTGTGTGTTATTCCTTGTAAGGTTATATTATTAGTTTCTTTAGGTCATTCATTTCATTAACACTAACCACCCAAACAAGCACTTCTTTCAGGAAAGTTATTCAAGAGACACTTAGTTAAACATACACCTGATGTTTATACAAGTGATCATTGTCCTCAGCTTACTTTGAAAACTCCTTTATAAAGGAGAAAATTTTCTTCAGGACATTTAAATATTTATCTCATCTGTGATTTTTAAACAATACGTATATTTAGCATTATAGAACTGAAATTTTGATATGGAAGCCCTAAAATTACAGTTTGTAATTGACTTAGATGCCTCATCCATACTCTTTTAGTTTCAACCATTTGAAAGATATTAGGATTCTTTTCTGTTGCAACTTTTATACATTGTAAGTATTCCTTTGCTGGAGTAGCAACTGAAAAACAGATTGAATGAACAACTTCTGAAAGGCCTTAAAGGCTTTTTGTTGGTGGTGGTGGTCGTGGGGCTTGAACTCCGGGCTTGGGCTCTGTTTCTGAGCTCTTTTGCTCACTCTACCGCTTTGAGCCACATTTCCACTTCTGATTGGAGATATACACTCATGGGGACGTTCCTACCTGAGCTAGCTTCAAACCACAATCCTAGATCTCAGCCTTCTGAGTAGCTAGGATTATAGGCATGAGCCACCAAGGCTTTTGTAACAAAAAAAAATCTTTGTGCTCCCTGCTATGAATTAATTTATTCATTTGACTTACCACATATGTATTGAAATACATTGCTTCTAGAAGACAGATAATGGATCAAAATAGAATGCAAAAGTCTCAGAATAAAATCAACAAGAAGTGAAAATCTGGTATATGCTGAAAGCAAGAATGCTTTGTGATTTATATTTTAATTGCATAAAACGGAAAGAAATCAAACATTCTTTCGTAGCTTGGTTGGTAATAACATAATTTTATGCTGTTGATGTATAAAAATGTTATTAGAAGCCCATAGGTATATACATATTTTTTACACACACACACACACACACACACACACACACACACACACACATATATCACACATATGTATTTAGTTACTCTTGAGGGTTTTTTGTTTTTGATTTTTGTCAGTGATGGAGCTTGAACTCTGGGCCTGGGTGCTGTCCTTCAGCTCTCCAGCTCAAGGCTAGTGTTCTACCACTTGAGCCACAGTACTACTTCTGGTTTTCTGATGGTTTATTGAAGATAAGAGTTTCATGGAATTTCCTGCCTGGGCTGGCTTTGAACTGTGATCCTCAGATCTTAACCTCCTCAATAGCTAGGATTACAGGCATGAGCCACCAACGTCGGCTCCTACTGAGTTTTTAAGTACAGTTGTATCCCTTATCTGTAGGAGATAGTTCTAAAACTTCTAGTGCATGACTGAAACAGCAGTGGATAATGGCCATCTGTATGTGTATTATGATTTTTCTCATACACAAAGGCTTAATTTATAAATTAGGCACAGAAACAAAAGGAAGACTTAACAGTAATAGTAAATACTAAAATAGAACAGTTGTAATAATAGACTGTAGTAATGGTGAATGTGATCTCTCTTCTGAAGGACACAGCCATTAATATTTTCAGATCAAGATTGACACAGCAGGCACAGGTAACTGAAACCATGGATAAAGAAGAACTCTTGTAAATAGAATGTTAAGGAGTACATTGGCAACATGCCAAAGAAAGCAGGGCTGCTATGGGCCATGGCTAATATGGCAGAGCTCTGCAGCAGCCCTACAGTAGTAAATTCCTATCCACTTACCTGGTGATACCAAGTAAGCAAGAGTTTCCAAGTCACAAAATCTTAGTCCTGGGTTCACATGGACTGGCCTCACAAACCTTGTGTTCAAGAGCATCTTTTTATTGAAGCTGGACCACAGAAACTTATTAGTGATGTTATTTGTACTAATTTCATTAGGCATTTGGGCTTTCTGGAGTATTGTGTTTTTGTGAAAATTTTGTAAAAGTTTGAATTTAGGATTACAGGTGTTGAGCCATGGATTGTGGTTCAAAGACAGCCCAGGCTGGAAAGTCTGTGAGACTCTTCCAGTTAACTACCAGAAAACTGGAAGTGGCACTGTGACTCAAGTGGTAGAGTCCTCACCTTCAGCTGAAGAGCTGAGGGACAGCGCCCAGGCCTAGAATTTAAGCCCCACAACCAACACACACACACACACACACACACACACACGCACGCACGCGCGCGCGCACACACACACACACACACACACACAGCCTTGAGCCAAAGAGCTAGGGACAGTGCCCAGGCCCTGAGGTCGCATGCGCGCGCACACACACACAAAGTTTGAATTTATTTCAAGCCCTATAATGCCACCCAAATGTTCTGTGCCTTCTAAGCCTTCTGGCAGTGAACCCAAGCACCAGAGAAAGATACTTACCATCAAAGAAAAGGTGGAACTTCTCTACATGGAAGGCAAAAGCTACATGGCTATAGGCTGCCGTTAGGAGATCAGTGAATCTACTGTGCACTACCTAAGAAAGACAAAAATAATATTAGGTCTACGGCAAGGATAACTTTTAACAAGACGGCAAAAGTGTGGTCACTCTCCACAATAAGGCCATTGTGAGGATGGAGTCTACATTATCCCTGTGGATAAATGACTGCAGGAAGGAGAATACTGTATCTCACTGGATACCAACACGATTCAAACAAAGGCCAAGAAACTCTATCATAATTTCGCAGGAAACAAGGACATTCATGGTGGTGACAAGGGTGAAGCAAGGACAGTGACACAGAAGCAGGACCATCGAGTGCTTCACCCACCAGACCAACCCCTTTCCGTGCCAGCTCAGGCTGGATTGACAAATTTCAAAGACACTGTATACTCAAGAGTTTTTCTCTGCATGGAGATGCAACCTCTCTGGATAAGTTGGAGCCGAGGAGAATGTGAATGTGAATGACATGTTCAAATCCATCATCAGGGCTATAGGCCTGAACAAGTTTTACGGATGAAACAAGTGAAGAAGAGGATGAGGAACAAGACGGACTGTGGGTTAGAGAAGAAGAGGAGTTTGGCCTAGCACTCTTGTAACCATGGATAGAATGGCCAAAGAACTTCAGCAAGTGGCCGAAGAATGCAACCCCTAGCTGCTTCTTACGTTGCACTTTGTAAATACAATCAAGAGTAACATGTTAGCTTATAAAAACCTTCTCACTCAGAAGAAAAAGCAGTGCCAGTAACGCCTTATAACTATGTTCATCACTTGGACAAAGAGATCAGTTATGCCTATGTCTTTAGCGGAAATAGAAGTTACAGACCAGGGTGAAGATTCTGCACCACCTGATGAAGCGCCTGAGGAAGTGGTGCCTTCAGAAGAGCTGTAATGCTCTTCTTGGCTGCTCAGTACATTCATCTCATCATCATGGCCTGCATTGCCATCAGTACTGCACAGCTACATAATTCATGATCTTCATCCTTCAAGCTGTAGTATACTTCACCTATAGAATCTTTCTGTGTTGTTAAAATTACATAGGTTTAAGAGTATAGAAAACGTTTAAGAGTATATGAAGTGTTTATAAGAGTGTGGGAAAGGTTAATAAGAGAGTGGGAAAGATTCATAGGAGAATGGGAAGGATTTATAAAGCCTTAAAATACATAAATAATAAAAACTGTAATGCTGCTACTTCCCAGATTTTCACCTATAGCTGAGGTCTCTGGAACGTAACTCGCAATAGGTGAGAGATCACTGTATGTTGACATTATAATTATGCAGTAATAGATTTCAAATGAATTTCAAGTGCTCATATAAACTATACTTCAGAAATGAAGTCTGTATTCTTACATTAAGCATTCATGAAAATTTGTATTAGATACCTTCAGTTTGCTAGATACTGGGAAGATATAAGATATAAAAATATTACCACTGGCCTAAGGATACTTAAAAATGTAGTTAGACCATTTTCTGACTCTGTGTGCACGCACATGGCCGTGCACATGCACACATGCTGTTACTCAGGCTTGAACTCAGGGCCTGAGCTTTTTTATTCAAGGCTAGCACTCTACCACTTGAGCCACAGGTTGATTTCTGGCTTTTTGGTGGTAGTTAATTGGAAATAAAGAGTCTCATGAACTTCTCTGCCCAGCTTCAAACCAAATCCTTAGATTATCAGCCTCCTTAGTAGCTAGGATTACAGGCATCGTCTGCTGGCACCCAGCTACAGACTTTTTTGTTAACCCGTAACTCTTCTGGGTTAATAATATGCTATATTACTAATGTTAAAATGAATTAAAACATATTTTTACCATCTTATTCTCTTTAGTTCCTATGTTTGTATGATAAGGAGAACTTAAATAGCCAATTATTTTTTGAATTTAAATTTTGAAAATGAAAGATTGAATACAAAATAGTGCAACCCCATCTTAAAGAATATATGAGTAGAATTGGGGCATGGCTCAAATGCAGATTGCTGAGGTCCTGAGTTCGAGCCCCAGTACTTCAAAAAAAGCAAAACAAATAAAAACAAAGATATTGCTTTTTGAGTTTGGGTAGCACAAGTTTGGTTAAGATGATTGTGCATTGTGACAGGTCTGTATATCATATTTCAAAATAACAAAGTGTCAATAAATATAATTACATGCTTATTTAACACATTATTTTACCTCTCTGATACTATTCTGTGGTGTACCTTTTAAATCTAATGATATTCCACAGGAATACTTCTTTCAAAAGTAATTATCACAAAAGTTCAATAACTAGATTGTTATACATCTTAATTTTCTATTAGTGTTAACTTATAATTTTACATATAGGTAGGTTAAATTGTTTTGCTTGTAGATATGACCATTGGATATGAAAAAAAAGGATTTCATCTTTGATTTACATAGGACAAATATGGATTTCTAAAGTTAACTCTTTTATGGGGTATGTTGACACCAGGGACATAGTAGAAAGTCCCTTATTTGGACTGTGTTTTAATATTATGGCCTAGCAAATATTCACAGTTCCTTCACTCATTCTTTCAATAAACTTAGTACTTCATATGTTCAAGGCTGTATGTGAACTACCTCTGCTTGGGGCCTTGCCACAAGGAAATTAAAGCCCAGTGAAGTTCTCTATTATTCAAGAGGCAGTATTTATAGACAGAAGGCAGATGGCTTAGATTTGATGTCTGGATCTTCCACTTACTGCCTAGTTGACCTTGGATGGGCTTTTTAAATCTCTTTATGCCTCAGTTCCCTTTGGTAGATATGAGAGACAAGACTGAAAGGAAGAAGTTGGTGGCGGCCATGGCTGTAGGATGAAGGTAACTCTAATAGTATCTACTTTATGGGGTTTTGTGAAGATAAACAATTTTATGAAAGGTTTAGAATAGTGTCTAAAGTAATAGGTGTAAACTACATTTTAATTTTTTAATGTGGAGGCAGATGTATAGACAAATCTCACATTAATAGAATTGTAACCTGGCCTGGGAGTCGTTCATGGCTTCCCTGTGGCCCGAGGAGTGAAAAATAAACTGTGTTAACTGTAGAGAGAGGAGTAAAGTAAGAAAATAGGCTGAGAACAGCAAGTCTGAGGACAGGATCATGATCAAAATGACTTGAGGACATGTACAACCCAAAAGAATGAGGATGAGGTACAAGAGATGATTTCAGGGGGCCAGATCTTGTTAGAGCCTTGGGAAATCTGTGAAGCAAGGAAGTGGCCTGGTCATATTTTCCTTTTACAATGATTTATCTTCATAGAGCCTTCAAAATATCCTGAGATGAAGCAAAGGGCTCTTGAAAGTAAAAGATGCTGGTAGCTTAAAGAAAGGTTTGAGATGGTTAGAATCAGACTGATCAAAATATGTTTAGGAGGAAAATAGACATGACTAAATGCTTTATTGTATATGAAGACTGAGAGGAGAAATGTCAGTGAAGTATCTCATAGTATCACATAGAAGACAGAGCACAAGCTAGTCAAGAAAGTAGAGAAAATATTTTTAAGAAAATGAACATTAATCAGCTTTCTATCACTGTGCCAAAATATCTGAAAAACCACTTTTTAAGGGCAAAAAACTTACTTTTGCTCCCAGTTGTATAAATTCCAATCAGTGGTCACTTGGCTGGGTTGCTTTAGGACTGTGGAAGCATAATGCTGCATTCTACAAGCTCATAGTGGAGGAGGCTTGTTTACCTTATGGTGGACAGAAAGCTAAGAGAGGGACCCAAGTTCCTATATCCCTTTCAAGGGGGGATACTCTATTGCCTAGCTTCCTTCCACTAGGCACCCCTTCTTAAAGTTCTCCTACCTTCCAACAGTGCACAGGCTGGTGTACAACCATTTAACATATTTGACTTTGGGGGACATTCAAGATCCAAACTATAATACTAATAATATGATAGAGTTTGCTAGAAGTTCTAGAACAGGTTTTAGACCAAGTTCTCTATAGATCAAGTTTTCCTGAGCTAGACCATCTAATATTGCCTACACATTTGATAGACATTTTAAAGTGTTAAAATGTTAAATTGTCTGGTGTCAGAATCTGAATCAGGAAGCTTATATGTGAGACACTTGTTTTAATAAACAAGGAGTAACAACAAATGAATGCGAGTCAAGCAAAGGACTTGTTAGTTTCATGAGATACTCCAAAGGTGTTTAGTGTAAGATGCCTTTGCATATTATCTTGTGCTGCTTTAATGTCAAAAAGTAAGAATTAGGTAATTGGAACATTAACAAATCTGAAAATTCTGCATCAGCTTTCCTAGAAAAAGCTTACCAACAACCTGTAGAGTGAGTTTGAGCTTCCTCAAAGGAATGATGTTAGCCCAGCCTTCAGTCAGTTCAGTATTGGACCAGAATAAGGATATCTATCTAGAAGAGAATTGGTTAGACTTTACTATTATTGAACAGAATCACTAACAGCATTGAGCCTAATTAGGTCCTCTGTATGATTCCTCAGAAAAATCAAGCCAGTAGGAAGGAAAATGTTCCATTTTTTTTCAAGTAACAGGAACTAAACCTGCTAGCTCTTGTGAGAAAGTCAAGTGTAGGAAACCTGAGACCTACCAGGTCATGAGGAGGAGGTACTGCTTTTTCAGATGATGTGATGTGTTAAGAACCACCTATATTCCTCATAATCTGTCTTTTGAGATGTGCTGAGTACTCTGTTGATTCCTCAGAGTTCTCAAGAAGAATCCAAGCAGAAATGATGACCAGGTATCTGTAAGGCTAGAGTCCAGAGAAATAATTTCTTGACAGGTTGTGTGTGTGTGTGTGTGTGTGTGTGTGTGTGTCTGTCTGTCTGTCTGTCTCTTTGTCTCTGTGTGTGTGTCAGTGTCTGACTGTCTGTGTGTCAGTGTTAGGCAATCAATCTGTGGTGTCAAGGATTGTACATACAGTGCCTCATGCTAGGCAAGTACTTTACCATTTGAGCAATGTGCTCAGTCATTTTTACTCTGGTTTTTCAAATAGGATCACACACTTAACTGTTCATGTTGGCTTCATGTCTCAGTCTCTCTACCTCTGTTTCCTATGTGGCTAGGATTTCATGAGTATGCTGCCATGCCTAGCTCCAGGCATATTTTTTTGAGGTAGCATTCTGGCACTTAAATATCTTATACCTTAGGGGGAGGATAAGAAGAGGGACAACTAGTGCCTTCCTCTTTCATTAAATTTATTTAGGGACTTCTGTGGTCTCTACTGTTCGTTGCAGGGCACTTAAATTTCTATAACATTTCTTTGGGAGACACCTTTTAGTTTCAACTTGCTGTGACCAGGGACAAGGCAGTAACAGTGACCAGACTGTGGAATTGAGGTTTGGGCCCTGAGACCTTCCACCATTTTCAGGTGTCCAAGGTCCTTTTTGCAAAGTATTTATTGAGTAGAGTACAGGAATGTACTGCAGAAAGCCAGGTATCAATATTCTTGAAGTCACAAGCACCAAACATGCAATAAGATTTTAATCAATATCTTTGAATTCACAAACACCTATCATGAGATACAATCTTAGTCAAGTGATAAATGACTTATCTTAGGAAGTAGAGGTAAGCAGTAAATGACTTAGAATTTGCATAGGCTATTGTCTATCTCCTTGTTTTTAGAAAGTTGGGGGTCCAATTATCCTACACCCAGGATAGAGATCTGAATTTCTGTCAAACTGGTACTGATTGGCATTCTGGGAGTATATTGAGAGGAGGCATTCCAAACTCCCAAACCTCACAGCTCTGCTTTTGGAGCTCTTACGCTTTTTATTCTCAATACAAGGCTAAGTCAAAATGATATATATGACAGTGTTTCTTCTGATTCTGTGAGTTAACCCTTCAAAAGAGTTAATGTTTCTAAAGAGTTTCCCATATTTAGGGCCTAGTTAAAACGTCAACTTCTTGTTTTTAAATGAAAAATACTTGCTGCATTATTTAACAAATATGTTGTCAGGCATATTAACCTCTTTTAATTATACTTTTCTGAATGAAAATCTCACTTAGGATTCTGTGCATGTTAAAAAATAAAAAAAAAATCCAACCTCATTCTTCAAGGAAATAGAAGAGGCAATCCAAAAATACATATGGAACAATAAAAGACCCTGAATAGCAAAAACAATCCTCAACAGAAAGAACAGTGCTGGAGGAATATCAATACCAAATTTCAAACTCTACTACAAAGCCATAGTAATCAAAACAGCTTGGTACTGGCACAAGAACAGACCTCAGGACCAATGGAACAGAATTGAAATCCCTGAAATGAACCTACAGATCTATAGCCATCTAATCTTCAATAAGGGAGCTAAAAAAATAGAATGGAAGAAAGACAACCTCTTCAGTAAATAGTGCTGGCAAAATTGGTTAACTACTTATAGAAAACTAAAGCTAGATCATTCTATATCACCCTGCACTAGAATCAACTCCAAATGGATCAGAGACCTTGGAGTCAAAGCAGACACTCTGAGAACATTACAGGATGGAATAGGAGAAACCCTAGGTCTCCTTGGCACAGGCCCAAATTTTCTTAATAGAGACCCAGAAACACAACAACTTTGGTGAGGGGCGGGGAGGAGGATTGGATGGGGGGCAGGAGGAGGATGGGAAGGGATAGGAAGGGGAAACAAAGGAGGAGGCTACAATGCTTGATAAGAAATGTACTCATTATCTTGCCCATGTAATTGTAACCCCTCTGTACAGTATTTTCACAAAAAAAAACAAAAAACAAAAAAAAACTGGGGAAACGTGAAGGAAGGGATGATATTGTCCAAAACAGAAATGTACTCATTACTTGACTTATGAAACTGTAACTCCTCTATATAACACAATAATAACAACAATAAAATTATACTAAAAATTAAATGAAAAGTAACTGATGAGATGTTAGCTAAGATATTAACATATTTGAAGCCTTGATTTAGCTGTCAAGTGCCACACAAAAAAAGTAAGTGAATAAAATAAATGAATGAATGAAAATGATGAATTTTTCTTAAAAGTACTACACTGGGGTTTCACGTTGCCTGAAATGCAGAACCAAAATGTAAAAGAGAACTTTGATGTTTTTTTCAAGATCATCCAGGTTATAAAGATTTTTGGTAGTGCATATTCTCTTTATTCTTTGAAGGCTTCCTCTCTTTTTTTTCTTTTTCTTTCTTTTCTTTTTCTTTTTTTTTTTTTTTTTTTTTTGTTGGTCATGGGGCTTGAACTCTGGGCCTGGGCACTGTCCCTCAGCTCTTCAGCTCAAGGCTAGCACTCTACCATTTGAGCCACAGCGCCACTTATGGCTTTTTCTATTGATGTGCTGCTGAGGAATTGAACCCAGGGCCTCATGCAAGCAAGGCAAGCACTCTACCACTGAGCTACCTTCCCAGCCCCTTCCTCTTTTTTTTTTTTTTTTAAATTTCCTTTCCTTCTAGAGAGAATGCAGCCAATTGGAAAGTGTAGGAGAGGCTAAAATAGGTTCGGATTCTGGGAGTTACATACTGCGTGTATGATTTCAAAATGATATTTTTAACTCTGCTCAAGCCTCCCTTTTCCTGTCTGAAATCACAAGAGTAATGCCTACTTTGTGAGGTTATTAAGAGGAATGAGAAGAATAGACATAAAGAACTCACATAGTACATGAAAGTTTTAGATATTGTGTGCTTAGTTAAAACTGTAGAGATCAACATGGCACACTAAAGCTGAAATAAATTTGGTAATTTTCAGGTTGCTAACTATGGTGAAAGCTTTTGGTAAAGGGAAGATTGAGACGAGTGGTTAAGAGTTTCCTAAAAGATTATCCACGGGGCTATCCTTGCTTAACCCTGTCTTCTGTGACCATGATAATTAAGGAAGATGAAATAAGGAAACAGTTCTCTTGCGAATTTAAAGGAAATTTGTATGCCTAGAGGTATGCATGTCCAGTCTTGTTGGAGAAAGTGCTTTCAGATTCAGCCAGCAGGACTTGAGACTTCCCTCTGTGCTTTAAAGTATTCAATTTAATGCACTTATCTTTTTTGGCATAACTTCATAAACTCAGTGCCCTGGGGGCGGGGGAGGGGGGAAGGGTCAGAAGGAAAACCCATTTCAAATCCTTAACCATGTTTAGTGGGATTTTAAATCCATGGCGAGTTTCTTCAACTCTCCAACTACCTTGGAATCAGTTTTTCTCTTGAGTTTCATATGCTAAAGTCGCTGTGCAAAAGGGGTCATCAAAATGGTTGGCATATTCTGTCTCCCTAGAGAACTGAGATTTTAGGCTTAACTTTCAGAATAGCCTGAAAAAGACCATTATGCAAGCTTTGAATCCTATCCCCTACTCTCCTTCTAATATCCCTTATCCAAAATTAACCTGTCACATTTGTGTTCTGTTTTATTTTCTGGGAAAAAATTAAATACTGCAGTGACACTGGAGGATGGATAAGGGCTTCCCTCAGGTTCCCAGTTTCCATATACAATCTCATGAAAATCATTTCAGAGTATCTCACACAAAGGATACTCAGTGTACATACGTAATCAAAGGAATGGGAAATGTGAGAGTTTGAGGGGAAACACAGGGTGGATGGAAAAATCTGATGAAAGGAGTAACTGATCACAAATCACTGCATACTTAGATGGAATGTTCAATCGTAACCCCCTTGTAGAACCTTTAGAAGTTCAAAAGTTTTATTAAAGCCATAAGAAAGTGGAAGTCTGACAAGGGGAAAGTTAAAAGACTTTCAAAATGGTGATTCCTATCTGTAGTTTTTATACTTTTGGGGATGGACAACTCTAGTTACTCTTAATGCATAGACAGTGGTTCTGGGTGGGTAAATTACTGTTAAGACAAGATTTCCTCTGCCAAATATGCCTTTTCATTCTCCTCTACTCATTCTGTAAAGTTTCAGATTTTTACCATTTCAAAGAAAGCACATTTAGTTAGGCCCTCTATATTTCAAAGGAGAAGGCAGGATTAGATAGCCCTTCCATGTCTCCTGATCTTGTAACAGCATTAAAAATGTTGTGTGGTAGGAAGGGAGCCTAAATGCTTTTTCATTTTACTTCCTAGTTTTAACTTCTGAGTCTTGCCTTTTAGATATTTGTTGAAAATAACATAATTTTTCTGACTCCTCCTCTATCTTGCTTCAAGACCTGAGACGGCAAACGGAGAGAGCAGCTGAAGTCTGTCAGCAGCACTTCTATTTAGCCTTGGCTTTATGGCCTCAGCTAATGTCTGCAAACTTAAAATGATAAGTTAACATTGTGATTAGTTGGCAGAGCTGTTTGAAAATCGTTGAACTTTTTATTTGAAAATGTTTATATAATACAGAAGTAAATAGTTAAGCCACCATTATTCAGCCCCCGCTGTTATCAGCATTTGCCCTGTTTAATCTATCTCCTCTGTACCTCTCTCCATACTGTTAGTTTTACTTTTCTTTTTGCTTTATTTTTATTTTATTTTAATGTTTAGATTATGTGTCACTATACAACCCAGACTAGTCAGCTGCTTGCTTTGTACTCAAAATTGGCCTGGAATTTGAGATCTTTCTGCCTCAGCCTCCTAAATGCTGAGATCGCATGTGTATATTACCCTAGCCAACTTTTGTTGTTTCTTTTTGCAGCGTGTACATTATTTGTATATATGTGGAAAATATGGAGAAAATACCAATCTTCGTACCATTTTATTCTTAAACTTGATTATACATCTCAAACTTAAAAGTTTGAAGTCTTTTATTTGTGCCTCTTTTTCTCTCAAGTGTAAATACAAATAATAAAGGACAAAAATTCTTATTTTTAAAAGGGTTCCAGAGGGGAGGGAAGATAAAAGAGGGAAGGGGTAGCTGGGTGTAGTGGCTCACACCTGTAATCCTAGCTCCTCAGGAGGCTGAGATCTGAAGATCTCGGTTCAGATCCAGCCTGGGCAGAAAAGTCCATGAGCCTCTTATCTCTGATAAACCACCAGAAAACCAGAAGTGGTGCTGTAGCTGAAGTGGTAGAGTGCTAGCCTTGAGCTGAAGAGCTCAGGGACAGCCCAGGTCCAGAGTTCAAGCCCCACAACCGACAGAATAAAAAGGGGGGGGGGGGGAGGGGTAACAGTGTTTGACAAGAAATGTACTCACTATCTTAAGTAACTGTAACCCCTCTGTATGTCACCCTGGCAATAAAATTAAATTTTAAAAAAGGGTTCCATTTCCATAATAATCCTTAACTTGAAGTTTATGAAAGTGATGGTGTCACCAAATAATTAGGGAGAAGTTCCTTCTTCATCTGTTTCCAAGAAAAAAAAATCACAATTCCAATGGCTCACACCTGTAATGCTAGCTACTCACAGGGCTGAGATCTTAGGATCATGGTTTCAAAACCATCCTGTGCAGGAAATTTCATGAGACTCATCTCCATGCACAAAAAGCTGGAAGTGGAGCTATGGCTCAATGCCCAGGCCCTGACACACACACAGACACACACACACACACACACACACACAGACACACACACACACACAGACACACACACACACAGACACACACACACAGACACACACACACACACACACACACACACACACACACACACACACACACACACACACACACACACACACACACACACACACACACACACACACACACACACACACACACACACACACACACACACACCCTTGAGCCAAAGAGCTAGGGACAGTGCCCAGGCCCTGAGGTCAAGCTCCAGTACCAACACACACACAGCCCCTTGAGATCCACTCATGCAAAGTATTTTAGGTTATCTCACTAAAAGGAGAAAGTCTTAAGGTGAAAGTTGTAGTAAGGATTTATTTTGTATCACAAGGCTAAATAAAGAGAAATAAACGTTTCCTGTTCACTATGAAGGAAAGCAAGTTAAAATTTCAAAATGGTTGTTCTCATCTATAGCCTTTATACTTTCTGAGTTGACAGGAAGAGTTTACATTGTCATGTTTGTCTAGCAACTCCTGATTGTTAGTTTGTTTCTGTCTCTACCCAAAGAGTTTGTAGTATTTGTCATTACAGAAGAGAAGGCAAATTTAGAAAGATTCTCTTAGGTCTCCTAATCCTTATAACTTAGCTTCTAAAAAGAAATATGACAAGAGGGGAGCACAGCTTTCTTTTTCATTTTTCTGATTTCGACTTTTTAGTCTGGCCCTTTTGATAGGAATTTCTCATCTACCTGTCCTACCTCACTGGAACCTTCAGAGTTAAATGCAGATGTTTGCTTACATATTTGTCTTTTTTTTTTCTGGGCCTGGGGCTTGAACTCTGGGACTAGACTATCCCCGGGCTGTTTTTTGCTCAAGGCTTGCGCTTTAACCACTTGAACCACAGCACCACATCCAGCTTTTTCTGTGATTAATTGGAGATATGAATCTCTCAGAGTTTACTGCCTGGGCTGGCTTCATACCATGATCCTCAAATCTCAACCTCCTGCACCCAGCTATATTTGTACTTTCTTGGGGGGTGGGAAATAGGATGATGCTGTTTATTAATAAAGTTTTGAGGTAGAACTTGACCCAGCATTCTGAAGGATTTTTGCCTGATTTTATAGTCCTTCACAAAATCAAAGTATTATGTGTACAAAATAGCATAACTTTGGTAAAGAATCTATAAATTATCGTAACATAGTAATGTCTTCTTTATTTGTTTGGTTTTTTTTGGTGGTGGTAATGGTAGTGGTTTTTGAACTATTTTGTTTTGGCAGAACTGAAGTTTGAATCAGGGGCCTGGCATCTTGCTCAATTTGTCAGTTCACAGCTGGTACTCTACCCCTTGAGCAATACCTGAAGCTCAGCTTTTTGCTGGTTAATTAGAGATAGAATCTCACAGACTTTTCTGCCCAGGCTGCCTTCTAACCACCATCCTCCAGGTTGCATCTCCTAAGTTGCTAGGATAAGCCACCACCAGAACCTGGCTAATAATGTCTGTATAGCATAAAACTGTGCTAATTCTTCCTATTGATATTTAATAAGGAAGGGCCATTTAGAAATAGACTATAAATATTTTAGACACATGTTTAGAAAAGAAGAAGTTCACTTAGAGCTAAATAAATATATTTGTGGTCTCATGATCAAATTGTGATCATTCTCTTTATCTGTAAAGAAATAAAAATTTTCTTTTTTGTGCTATAATGAAATTCTTTTCATATAAAGCTATTTAAGTATTTATTTGGATTAGATATCTTGTTTAAAATGAGTGTGATTTATCTGGAAAATCATTAAGTTGAGATTCACTAAGTGTGTAAATCTGCTAGTTTAGTTCAGTAACAATTTTTCTCAATTCAGAGTTAGGCCCAAGTTTAAAGCGGTTACATGTGCCAATTGTGGATAAAGCTTTAGATGTATTGTGTCAAACTCTGATGACTAGTCATAGAAATCATAAGCTTTATGCTAAGATATATTGGACTTGAATTAGAAATGGATTCTGGTCAGTATAACATCAGAATTGCACACTGTAAGTAGAGTTTTGAAAATTGAAAGCTGCTCAGTTGAGCAGCACCCTGCTGTGCCTCATGGGGTATATATAAAAATTGGCTCACAAGAAGTTACCAGTTTTACCATTACTGGAATTTAATTTTATTTTCTCTCAGGAGTACAGTTGTTAATTGGAGTGTGCTTGTCAGGTTTTTTTTTTTTTTTTGTCTTTGCTTCACAGCTGTAACATCAAACATGAACAAATGAAAAAAGTTATTAGCCTTTGATGATTTTCCCTCAGGGATTCTAAATAATGCTATCATAAATCGGCAATGATACTTTTACGTGACTCAGAGAATATCCCGTGTATATGGAGTGATGTTTATAGGAAGCTATTAGACCTTAGTAACTAAAGTAACAAGTCATTGATTATTACCTTGGTTATAATCAGTGGTTATACATACAAATGGATTGTATGTATAACACCACTTCTCTCACACAGGTCTTGAGAAGAATGAAGGTAGATATCTATGGAAGAGGGCATTGTGCATCACTTGGTACTTTTAAACATTCAACTCAATGTCACTAAGACATGAAATAATCTCTCATAAAAAGAGTTACAGAGTTGGTTAGAAAACAGGTATTAGGTTACAGAGCAGAGGATTTCTTTAATTGATATAGTAATGTACCAAAATAAATTTTAATTTTTAAGTACTTGCAAAGGAAGTATTAATATAATATTGGTAGAATATAAGAGTTGTTGGGTCAAAATTTCTGCAAGTAGCCTATAGACATTTCCTGATTGATACACTCACTCTTACTCTATTAGAAGATAGGACAGTATGTGTTTTATTCTGTTAGTGAAATCTACCCCTTCCCCCCACATTATACTTTTCCCTTTGACTACAAAAGACTGTTGTGGAAATGGATGCTGTAACTTTTTTATTTTGTACACTGTCTTGTTGCTGATGTTGAATTTCTTCTTAAGGGGTTTTGTAGGGTTTCTATAGCAAATTACACAAACTTGACAGTCTTTAAAACAAGTATTTTCTCACCTGAGGGTGGGAGTCTGAAATCACTGTATCGGCAGAGATATCAAAGGTCCTTCTGAAGATTCTGGGAAAGAAACTATTCTTGTTACGTCTCTGGTGGCTCCCTGCAGTCCATGGCTTGTAGCTGCATCACTACAATCTCTGCCTCTGTTCTCACTTTCCCTCTCGAGGTATGTGTATTCTGTATCTCAGAATCCACATATCCCTCTCCTTTCTCTTACAAATGCACCAGTCATTAAATTAAGAGCCCATTCTAATCTCATCTTAAGTGTATCTATGAAGACTTTATTTTCAAATAATACCATATTTACAATTCTGAGGATTAATACTTGAGCACATCTTTTAGAGAATACGATTCAGTTTAATACAGAGAATGTTTTAGCTTTTCATCCCTGTGACAAATACTTAAGACCCAAAGAAACATAGATTTCATGGTTTCCCTCATTTGTAATAATTAGTTTATGTCAAGGATAGTCCTAGCAGATTAACAGAATAGCTCAATAGCTTTGTACATATGACCATATAAGATGATACTAAACAAAATGAACTCCAAGACATGGAAATGAGGTTTTTCTTTGTTGTTGTTTATAATGTACTATGTAATTTCTTTTTTTATGTTGTTTATAATGTACTATGTAATTTCTTTTTTATGTTGTTTTTCTTACAGTTTGTCCCCTGTTGTCACTGTATTTGATTTTGATACCCTAGGTATTGTGTATACGTTTATCTGAACCAGGGAAAGGAAGGGGAACAACAAAATGGTGAGACAAAGGACAAAAGAAGAACCAATGCAACAGTAATATTCACAAGATAATATGTAGAAAATGAATGTACAACTTGTCAGGGAGGAGGGAAAGTGGGGGAGAAAAGGAGGGAGGGGAGTAACAAGTTCAAGAAATGTACTCACTACTTTGCATATGTAACTGTAGCCCTCTGTACATCACCTTGACAATAAAATTAAGTTAAAAAATGTTTTTGGTTTAAAAAAACCAAATATATATATATATATATATATATATATATATATATATAAGCAAACACAAATACAACATTTCCATAATTATGGTTCTGGATTTTTCAGTTTTGCATGTTAATTTTATTTGGTTAAAGAGAAGTAACTAGACAGCAATTTACACAAAAATGATTCTGTACCACTGGTAGTTAGATTGATGTAAATTTAACCGTGAAATGTTATTTTTCATGTGTTAGACTGTCAGAGATTAAAATAAAAATTCAGCATCCTAAATATGGAGGACAGTAGGAGGTACTATTCTATCATAGGCAGATGGCTGGAGGAGAGATTGTCAACTCTTATCAAAGACTTTACCTATGTGCAACTCTTCCACTCAGAAATATCATGTCAACAAAGTTAGCCTCAGGAAACAACCACACAAGTATATAAAACGAGTAACTGTAAGGATGTACTTCAGATCACTGATTACACTGATAAGAACCTCAAGGTCCAGACACAGAAACAAACTAAATTCCAGTACATTTACATAATGGAATATTATGTGGTCTCTATAATTATAATACAACTATATTAACTGGAAATATAATGTTGGGAAATACAGTATATGGGTTTACATATGCTCTCCATGGAGAGTAGGGTTCTGAAACAGGGAAAAGGGATGTATGTATATATGTATACATGCATTTTATATGCATAGTATGAGTGTGTATATTATACAGATAACAGAAATCTCAAAAGAGTTATGGGAAAGTGGCAGCAAGAGTTTAAATTATGAATAATTTTTCTTTTCTCTTTATCTGCACTTGGTTTTAGGGTTTTTTGATGTTTGCTTGTTTGCTGATAACAGAACCTGAACTCAGAGCTTCATATTCTCTCTAGGTTTTCTTGCTTAGGATTGGCACTTTTATCACTTGAACAATACTTCCAGTGTGACATTTGACTGGCTTATTGGAAATGGAATCTCGCAGTCTTTTATGCCCCTACTGGCTTCTGTCAGCAATCCTTCTAGTCTCAGCACCCAGTCTAGCTAGGATTACAGATGTGGACCACCAGTGCAAAGCTTATAGTTGGTTTTTAATCTAAAAGAAATATTAAGATTGCTGAATTTAAAATAGTAAAATACATTAAACTTTTTCGAAATTGTATTTTATTGTCAAGGGCGATATACAGAGGGGTTACAGTTACCTATGTAAGGTAGTAAAATGAAAAGTGCAGATTTGCTCAGGCACTGGTGGTTAACTAGCTACTCAGAAGCTACTGAGATCCAAAGATAGCAATTAAAGCCACCCTGGGCAGGAAAGTCTATGAGATTTGTTTTTCTCAATTAACCATCAAAAAAACCAAAAGTACTATTGTGGCCCACATAGTAGAGCACTAGCCTTGAACACAAAAGCTCAGGGACAGTACAGAGGCCCTGAGTTCAAGCCCCATCCAAGACACACACACACACACACACACACACACACACACACACACACACACACACACACACACACACACACACACACACACACACACACACACACACACACACACACACACACACACACACACACACACACACACACAGAAGTAGTTATGTGTAAAAATATAATCTCCAGTAAAACAAAGAATATTTCTACTTACTAATAGTTATCTGAATCATAACATTGAAATATATAGGTATATGTGTACTGACGAATGAAAAATTGTATTCCAAAACATTTAGAGGGGCTGGGAAGGTGGCTCAATGGTAGAGTGCTTGCCTTGCATGCATGAGACCCTGGGTTCGATTCCTCAGCACCACATAAACAAAAAGAAAAAAGCCAGAAGTGGTGCTGTGGCTCAAGTGGTAGAGTGCTAGCCTTGAGCTGAAGAGCTGAGGGACAGCGCCCAGGCCCAGAGTGCAGGCCCCATGACCGGACCACCCCCCCCCCCCCAAAAAAAAAAAAAAAAAAACATTTAGAGCTGAGCGCCAGTGGCTCACACCTGTAATCCTAGCTACTCAGGAGGCTGAGATCTGAGGATTGCCATTCAAAGCCAGCCCAGGCAGGAATGACCATGAGACTCTTATCTCCATTTAACCACCAGAAAACCGGAAGTGGTGCCTAGCTCAAGTGGTAGAGTGCTAACCTTGAGCTGAAGAGCTGAGGGACAGCACCCAAGCCCACAGTTCAAGTCCTACAACTGACCAAAAATAAATAAATAAAAATTTTAAAAACCATTTAGACACATCAGGAGCATATTATATTTTCCTTTTTAAAGGCCAGTGTACTATCCTTAGATAAAGTTTCATTAAACAGATATTTCCAGAGAAATATTATCAATGGTTAATAATAATAAGATTCTAGAGATAATGGTGTACAAACTGTTGAAAGTAGTTCTTGTGTTTCTTCCTCTTTTTTTCCGTTTTGCAAAAGATCACTTCTCACAGCATCAAGTCAGTTTTACTCAATACATTGTACTACGTTTTCATTAACACAAATTCTTAGAGTAATATTATGGTGAGCATTTTGATCAAGCCCTTTATAAAAGGGAGAGCTTGAAGAGACAACCATTCTACTCACCTGTGTGCTATATTTTAGCTCCACTGTGGTCACTTAAGGGTCCTAAGGATGAGAATTCAGAAGAAATCATCTCATGAATCTCATACTGTGGGCTAATTTTATAGCATGAGTATCTACTATCAGTAATTTGCTTTGACATCTATAGCTTTCCTAGCTCATTATTGAGAGTACTAGAAATGTTTCATAAACCAAAATGCATGGCCAATATAGGGGAAAGGATCAAAAGGTAAAGGTAGTAGAGAAAGAACAAAGCCAATCTTGGAAGTGTTGACAGTGTGAACTAAGAGACTAGAAAGGGATGGATGTTGTACATCAAAACTACTAATGACAAAGTCTTGTCTTAGTTCACAGCTGTGTCCTAGAGTAAGGTTATCTGCTTAGACAATCCAATTTCTGAAACTGCTGTTAGGGGGTGATTATTTGCTTTAGAAATAGGTTTCTATTAAGTAAGCACTAGTTACCAGACTCTGAATTTTCTTCTTTCTTGGAGGTTGTCTAGATCAATTCAGTAAGTGGAAGGATTCATTTTGTTTCCTTTGTTGGGGTAGTATTATGGGTGTAATTCAGTTTTTTTCTAGAATACTTGCAATATAGAGTAGCCTGATGTCTCAAAAGTTGAGCTATCCAAAAGTGTTCAAGGGAGGGTCAGGTTTTTCTCATGAAGAATAGGTGTCTACATCCCTGTGATATACTCTTGTTCCATTTTTGTCTAATCCAGCCATGCAGGGTAAAGTCTTAACTCTCACACCCATCATATTCTCTCTAGGGTGATGGTATATAAGTTGCATGGTAAATACATAGTCCCAGCAGTTGGAGTTTAGTAGATTCCCGGTTGTATATTCCTGGAAGACACTTCTAAGCCTTACCATAGTTCATTCATCTGTGAATGTGGAACTGGACTCCAGTAAAGTTGTCCTGTTCCTCTTTCTAGAGAAGAAATTCTCATTATTGATGGTTTTGACAGGGTTTGACTTAGGGAAGAAACCAAGAATGCAACTGTCTCCCCTTAGTTATTCCTGTTTGTTTTTCCTAAAGAGCCCAGAGTGAGCAAGGCATTCTATGATTAGCTCAGAGTTCTAGATATCTCTCCTAAAAATGTTTGCTTAAGGACATAAGAACCCCAATTTCTCACTGATTTTTTTGGGGGGGGGATATTTCTTTATATAGAAACAAAATAGGTTTCTCTGATTCTTACTGAAATACTGCAGTTAACTATGGTGAATTCCATCTTGTTTTGGCTCACCCTTCAATTCAGTCAGGGCCTTCCTGAATTCTTTTATCCAACCTGTTAGTTCTCCCCCTTTAGCCTTATTTAATCTATAAATTCTGTCATATAGAACATAGATAAACCCACATACTTTTCTGAGATTTCTTTTTCTATTTCATTGAGTAGGCCACACCAGATTTACAAGCAGTAGAGCTGCCTGGTCAAAGCTTTCCTTCCTCGGTCTATGCATCCTTCTCGGAACAGCAGGTACACCAGGTGACTTAATGCTGGTCCCAACAAAGGGAGAAAAATAGGCATTAGATTTGCTATGACTCTGTCAAGGGAAATACAAGCTTTAGGTGGTCATAGTACTACTAAGTTCTGTCTTCTTGGATATTGTGTATTGTGGTTATGGTAAGGAGCAAGAATTTGGGGTTCTGGCTTCACTGGTTCAAATCCTGAAACCATGATTTGCTTGTGGCATAATTGTAGGCTGAGTATACTTTCTTTGCTGATTTCCTCATTGGTACATCAGGATAACTGTTGTTATTGCCTGTTGGTTTGGCATTTTACACTGTGTAAGAACCAATGAAATGGAAAGAAAGAAGAAAGCAGAGGAGAAAGAGGTGAAATTTCAGAAAGTCATGGTAAAGGCTGGTTCTTCTTGCCTTTTCACTTTGTGTACTCCAACTACAACTCTGCATTGAGAAGTTAAGTCAGGGACAGAGGAGCACACTTTCTTAATGACTCTAAATCCAGAGTCCACAGGGACTTCTCCTCTGCCAGAATGGAGAGTTTTTAAAATAGTCAATTTACTTACAGGTAGTAGGTAGAATATGAGTATAATCTCATAACTCAAAGTTCCTTTTCTGTGTTCTGATTACACTATAATCTTATACATTAAGCATGAATATTAATGACTTTTCCTTTAATTATCTGTTTTATTAAAAGGTTATTACTAATTTTTTTAGGGTACTGGGGTTTGAACCCATGGCCTAGTGCATGCTAAGCTTGCATTCTAAAGTCTCTACAAGTCCTATTTCCTGTTTTAAAACATGTGTGCTTCATTCTAACAAAGGAAGTGAAACTTCATAGCTGGTACTGTAAACCTGCCTTGTGAAGATTCTTCCCCATTTAGTGTGACTCTTACACTTTGTCTCTGTCTCCAGTTCTGGTTCTCTGGACTGGCCCTGACCCAATCTCACTCCCTCATTTCTACTCATAAAAATGTGATCTTTTCTGTTAAATTGTGACATATACTACACAAAGGAGACGATGAGAATGGATGAACGAATGAAGTAAAAAGCTTGGACAGGAAGATCATAGAGACAAATGGCACATGTTCTCTCTGTTATGTGGAAGTTAGATCTAAAACGCACTGGGATATTACAAATTACACAGATTCTAGATGCTCACATACAGTGAGACCAAAAGAAGATGGCCTTAGGAGAGAGTCACAAAGGTGTAATGCCTAAGCACTCTTCATATTTCTATACAATAATATACATACTCCTAAGATATGGAAACAAAAGACTTAAAAAATGTTTATTGTAGAAGTGATAGAGAGATTGCAGTTACATAAGTAAGGCATTGAGTACATTTCTTTTCAAACAGTGTTACCCCCTCCCTTTTTTCTCCTGTTTTCCTCCTCACTTTTTAAGACTTTTTAAAATTTGTTTTTTCTTTTTCTGATGATTCTGTATTCTTTACCTTTTACATAGTGTATTCACCCGTATATCTGCAGGTGGGCACAGAACTCCAGGGCAAAGGGGAAAAGTTTAGCAGTAGAGCTCACTAGACATTGATAAAAGTGAGCTATACAATTTGAAGGTAGAGATGGAAGGGAGGAAATGGGAGAGAATGAGAGAGCAGATGACAGGAAATGAATGAAAGGAAATGTATTTATTATCTGACTCATATAAATGTAACCCCTCTGAACATCACCTCTAATAACAAAGTAATGTAAATGAAAAAAAAAATCTTGGGCAGGGGAACCGTTGTGTTCTGTTTCTTTATACTACCAGTCCCTGGAGTTGTCTGTGCTAACAGATACACATATATGCTTCCTGTAAGCCGCTGAACCTTGAAGGCACCCAGACTCAAAGCTTCAGAGCTTTTGTGATCTGATAAATAGTTCAAAAAGTGTTGGGCTACTAGACTTAATAAGATAATCTTTTTCTTTTTCATACAAGAATTGGGGGAACTTGTATCTGGTAGATCACGTATTCTGAATACTCTTATTTTCCCAAATTAATTCCTAGCATATTTGAGGTTTACACATGAGCTCTGTTGGAAATGCAGATAAAGACAGATACAGCTGAAGATGTTGGATTTATTTGCTTCTTGAGTTAAAATACTGATTGAAGTCTTTAAATACTATCCATCTACTCCTAAAGTATGGATTCTTGATTTAGTCCTGTACATGGCAGTTTTCATTACATATTATGTATCAAAATTTTTTAATATATTTACAAGTTTCATTTCTTAATGAGTTATAATTGAAGCCAACGGAACCACCATATTTTGTTCCCACAGGATGATGGACTGAGTAACTTGTCACCAGTATTCCTTTTCAAACCTTTTAGTTATTTGTCAGTGTATATCTTTGTTTTGTGGTATACAATGTATTTTCCCACAAATCATGGAGAAAGCTCAGTCAGTAACATTTTACAATAAATTGAAGATACTAGACACTCCTGATTGTCATTGATTGGAATTTATGACTTCTTGGGTGTCATTTTTGTAAATAAAATTTGCCCTTCTCTGCATTTGTGAAATTATATTATTCTTGTGAAAAGCTGTCAGGTAAGATTGTAACT